TAGGTGTGTGTAGGTGTGTGTAGGTGTGTGTCCGTGTGTGTATGTGTGTGTGTGTGTGTATATATTATATACAGGATGTCTTATTTCAAACGATGTAGCCAAATATTTTTGAAGTTATTGATTTTAAAATTAAACGAAAAAGTTACGAATAAAAGTTATCAAATTATCAAAAAAAAAAAATAATCTATATATTAACAATATATAAATATATTCTAAATATTTAATATAAAAATATATTCTAGATATTTCGTAGAGGACGCACGCTGTTGTCAAGATACGGGATTCGTAATAATTTTATTTTTTAATTCCAATCAATATTTTAAGATCAAGAAAATTTGTGAAAAATTTTCATTGACAATTCATCTGATTATAACATTTCAATAATTTAACAAACTTTCTAATCACAATAATATTTTTCGACACAAGAAATACTTTTAAAGTTGTAATCATTTAAAGCGCTGTGGCCATGAACAGTCATAACTAACATTATTCTGATTAAACGCATCGCAACTCAATGAAATATCGATGAAAAGATACCTTATGGGTATTTGTATGTATTATGGGTATTCGTTCGTTGAGTATTCTTTACAATTTTTGTTCGATTTCCAAAATATCGATTTTCATGAATCAAAAAAAAAAAAAGAAAAAAAAAAAAAAAAAAAAAGAAATTGTTATATGAAATTTCCATATCTTGACAACAGAATAGTCCTCCATGAAATATCTGCGTGTTATATTTCTCCTCTGAAAACCTAGATGGTTTTATTTGAAACATTTATTTACGAAATCAATGAGATCACATGTATTTGGTCATATCATTTAAAACGAGTCACCCTATATAATATATATATATATATATATATATATATATATATATATATATATATATACCAATAACATTTGCAAAAGTTCGCGTGCACGCGTCCTGCGTGTTAGACAATATTACCATGAATGCTCTGGTGTTACTCTGGTCTCTTGCTGATACGAGCAACTAGTTCCTCGCTACGTTAACTCTCCTACTCTTGATGATGATATAGTTGTAGTATGCACTTGCTCTTAAACTGCTGCGTCGAAATACACGATGTAATATTTCGATGTTTCGAGTTCCATAACTCGTTACGCGTAGATATAGAAAGAGAGAAAGAGAGAGAAAGAGAGAGAAAGAAAGAAAGAGAGAGAGAGAGAGAGAGTGAGAGAGAGAGAGAGACAATCGTAGATCACGTATTAAACATAACTAGAATCGATCTTCTATAGCTATATAAGGATAGTAATAAACCAATAATAGTACTTGGCTAATACTTTCATAATTTTACAAAAATTCATGATTTTACAAAAAAGACATGACAATAAAAAAAAAAAAACAACGAATTAACATAAACAGATAAACTTAAACTATCTCTATAGTTTCTCAAATTTAAACAAATAAAAAAGAAGAGAAAAGAAATAAAGAAGAAAACAAAAATTTTTTAATGGACGTTGTTGATGGAGAATTCATTAAAAAAAAAAAAAAAAAAAAAAAAAAAAAAAAACAGAAAAGAAAGGAAAATACAAGAAAATATTTGATTGCAAGTAAACGACAAAGTTTATAAAGAAAGTAAATAAAGAAAAAAAATAAAAAGATGATGTTAGTGTTTGAAAAGTAATGTCCTTGATTTCAACAAATTCGAAAAGAAAAATATAGAGAGTAAACAAAATTGCCAAAATTGCAAACCTAACGTAAAATGTTTGCGCTGGAAATAAACATCGGAGCATGTAAATGGAGGTAATCGTCGCGACAAAGGTAAACGACATTGCAATTAACGTGCACGCGCTGGACAAAATGAAGCTTTACATTTATAGTTTATCCGAGCACGAGAATATTCTCGCTTAATGCTCTGGCATTTAAATCAATTATAGGGATGCGTGACGGTATTCGCATGATACGTCCGTTAAATATAGTTCAGTATAGTTACATAGTTAAGAAGAAAAAATACTATCATCGAGATTATTGATTTCTTACAAATTGATAGTCCATCGAAATCAATCAATGTTTCAAGAAAAATTATTTTTTCGTAACAAATTGTTTGTAAAAAAAAAAAAAAAAAACAGAAAAAGGAAAAAAAATAAATAGTTCGTAAGAAAATTTTGTGTAAGAAAAAATCATCAATTTTTACGTATAAGAAACCATTTCTTTGAAAATAATTAATTATTTTAAAGATGTGCTTCGATTTGTATGAATTAAAAACGATAAAAAAAAAAAAAAAGAAAAAGAAAAGCAAATTTTATCTTTATTTCATTATCAAAATTATACGGCATAATTGATTTTCAACAATTTATTTAAACGTCTATAAATGATAAACGAATCAAAATATTTTTTGAACTAAATGATATTAATCGATAACAACTATCAGTACCAATGAAAACAATAAGAGTAGAAAAATAATAATTGATTAAATTGTACGAGATGAAAAAGATAAAAAAAAAAGAATAAAGAAACAATATAAGGAAAACAAATCTAACTCACCGGAAGACAACTTCGACTTTTGAAGTAGCCAACTTTGTAGTGCCAACCTCTCCCGATGTCTGCAGAAGAATTCTGGTCTGATACCGTGCCTCTTCAAAAAGTCATCGCACTTTTGCAAAACGGCTAATGCCTTGGCCGCTTCGAATTCATCGATATCGTCAAAAAGATCCTCAGTAGTATTATTGCTGATCGAGTTAAACGAGGAACGTTCCTCGTAGGTTTCATCTGGTAAGAGCATGCCCATACCAGGTTCAAAATTGGCGAGCCAATCGCGACTTCCGGTTCGCGGCAAGCCTCCAAAGCACATATTAGTAATTCTCGCAGGATTTGCGAGCACGTTTACGTCCCTTTCACCTTTTCGTTCCTTCTCGACGAGATTATTGGAACGCGCTCGTATACCCATTCGCTTTCTTCTAATACTTTGCTATCGCGGAAAATAAGTCCGCCGCCATTTTGGATGAAAACGAAAAATTCGATCAATGGCATGAATAACGTGATTTCGAATGACCATACAAAATTTCACGAGACGATGAACGAACGAGATGAATAATGAATGAATGACAAAAAAAAATAAATAAAAAAAAAAGAAAAACAAAATAAAAAGAAATAAAAAAACTTGTGACTATGCCTGATAGCTAATCGCTCAGATCTAATTTAAACATGATCAACCCTTATTACGACGACTTTCCTTTGGTTGTTTTTTCTTTCGATTTTTTCTCCTTTTCTTATTTCCTTTTCGCTTTTTTTTCTTCCTTTCTTTCTTTTTTTTTTCTTTTTCTTTTTCTTTTTCTTTTTCTTTCTTTACTTTTTCTCCAGGTGAACCGTTAATTGAACCAAGTCTTCGAGTTCTCCATCATTTTCTTTCTCTTTCTTCTCCTTCGTCTTTCCTTCTTCTTCTTCCTTTCCATCCAGCAAATTCGAAGATAGAGACTCTCCTCTTCGGTTTCCTCTGCTGAAACGATAGCGGGAAGCTTCTCCTTGAATTTCAAAAGCGTCCTACGCGGCTACGTGCCAAGAATTCCAAACTCCTACTATTTTCTTTCTTTCTTTTCTTATTTCATTCTTTTTCTGCACCGCGGAATCGTAAATCGATCTAGTTTCCTTGGACTCTAATACCGATCCTCTCGATCCGCATCTCACTCGATGGATTCAAGAAAAGAGAGACGCTCTTTCTTGCTAACAGGATTCGATAACCAGAGACCTTTTTCTTTTCATTTTTACTGTTTTTTTCCTTTTCTTTTCTTTTCTTTTCTTTCTTCTTCTTCTTCTTCTTCTTCTTCTTTCTTCCCCTTTTTTGTTTTACTATCCCGTTTCTTCTTAAATTCGAACCACGAGGTATATTTCCAAAGTCCAACCGATTTTCATCATCCTTTCTGAATTTCTGAATATCGTTTACGTCCGATCATTTTTCACCTTGTTGAAATGTATTCCCTCCAATTTCTGTAAATCAAAATTTTGGTATATTTCAATTTGTGTTTTAAAACGAAGATGAAGACAAGATCGAGAGTCGATAAGAATTGAAAACAACGATCGATATTAAAGTAAATTCTATTTTAATTATTATTCATAATTTAAAATCATTGATCTAATATTATATATAACTTTTACTACTACATTTTAATTACTTAATGCGACATTTGTTTTACGTTTAATTTAAATTTTATTCCTAGTTTATTTTTATTTCTATATATAATACACATATGTATTTATAGGTAACTACTTTTTTTTTTCTTTTTTAACTTGTCAATAGGAAAACACTTAAATCGATTACACGACAATTTTACTCCTGGCGAAACAAATCAAAAAAAAAAAAGAAAAAAAAAAGAAAAAGAAAAAATTCATACAAACATCAGCCAATCACCAAGTGCTCTCGTTTTCGTTAGGTAGAAAGTTAAAATGCCGGTCAGTTTTGTACGGTTTATAGCGTTCGAGATTATCGGGGATTATGGGAGGATTTTGTAGGACTATTTAACGACATGACCATTTCCATTTTCGAGTGCGGGTTCCAACAATGACACAATAACCAGCCGCCACAATCACCATTACTAGCAATACCATCGTTACTACTCTACATTTTCACTTGACAATGGGAATACGAAACGGTAGATCGGCGGAAACGATTTATCGACTGACAAATCGCGAAATTACACTCACCCTACCATAACCAACACCAACACCACTACCAGCATCATCACCAGCATCACCACCATCACCACTGTCCGTGGGACGATAGATTATCTTGGGAAAATTATTCAACAAGACCTTTCATCATACCCTATTCCTATTTATCACGTTTATCTAATTATCATATTTCTGACGTTAACCGTCATTACATTAGTTACGGAGGATGTGTCTTTGTTATCCTTTCTTTCGTTAGAAAATAAAAATCTTTCAAAAATGATACGACAACGATCATTTTACAATCGTATTGAATTTTGTCTGCAATAATATTTTACTAAATTTAATACCATATGTTGTTCACGACATTATTGGTGTTATAGGTAATATTAAAAATAAACTAGTATTATAGACAGTATTATAAATAATATTATAAATATTAGTATATTAGTATTATAGAGTTTGTTTATATGTTCATTTTTTATTATACTACTATTGTTAAACTAATTGTTTTATTTGAATATAAAAATTAATAATCAATACAATATCATAATATTGTATTATGTTCGTTTTTGCTATATTACTCTAGTTTATTACGATGTTCTTGTTTTATTTGTATATAAACTAATATAAATATTAATTAAAAATCAATACAATACTATACTTGTACTATATTGACATATGCCTTTTTTTGTTTTATTATACTATCGTCGTTTATTTACATGTTATTGTTTTATTTTGATATAAATATATTGGATATTAACAAGTAACTAATGCAATACTGTAATATTGTAATATAATTTTTTACTATACTATTCTTGTTTATTTAGACATTCTTATCTTATTTGAATATAAAATACTATAAATATTAATTAATAGCCAATTTCAGTACTATACTATTGTGGTACGTTATTTTTTTACATACTCTCGATTATTTAAATGTGTAATTTCATTTAGACACAAAGATATCAAGCATTAATTAATAGTCAATTCAATACTATATTATTGTGATAATACCAATATTTTTTATTTATAAAATTATTGTTATACTTCTACATAAAATATTATATTATAATATTATATTCTGCTTGTAAAATACTATTATATTATACTTGTATATAAGAGATTATAATATTGTTATTATTTTAGTATTTTCTTTTTTTTTTTTTTTTATTTATTTACACGTTGCTATTTCATTTGTATATAAAGTATTAGAAATTACGTCATTAATTATTATCTAAACTAATACATTGTTAAAATTATAAAGCGTTTCATATTTCTAATCAATAATGCATATTTAATTATTATGAACTCATTAAAAATATAATATTATCATTATTTGATAAATAAATATATTAATTAATAAACAAAATTGTTCATGATTTACTCACTTTCTTGATTAACCTCTCTATCTATCTATCTCTCTTTATCTTTCTCTCTTCCTCTCTTTATTCTTTCTTTTTTGAATTTTTCTCTGTATTTCTATTTTTGCCTTGTTACTTCTATATTTTTCTCTCTTTCTTTCTATTGTTTTATCACGATATATATCTCACTCTTTTTCTCTGAATCTTCATTTACTCTCAAACGAAGTAGGCAAACTGACTTCCACATTGTTAAGCGGAATCACGAGGAAAGTAATTTAAGTCGCACTTTCATGCTCTAGCAGGTTTCCTCGGACACCAGTATTTCTCTTTCTCTTTCTTTGTCTCTCTCTTTCTCTCTCTCTCTCTCTCTCTCTTTCTTTCTTTCTTTCTTTCTCTTTCTTCCTCGATACCAAAGAATCACGATCAAGAAAGTTGATTCGCTTGATCGCACGAGATTTTTCAATTTACACAGGCGTGGAAAGAACGACGCCCGTTCACGTCAACTGATCGATCGATCGATCGATCGATCGGTAGATCGATTCTACTTGAATTTCCGGGTTGTTGAAATAGAGAGAGAGGGAGTGAGAGAAAGAGAGAGAGAGATCGAAGGAACTGAATCGATACCATTATCGATAAAGTAGATCTTGTCTTGGGAAATACATTCCCGTGAAAATTATTATTCTCAACGTGCGACAACAGTCTATTTCTTTCTCTCCTCGTTCCGACTCGCTCGGGGCCAGTAGCCGATCGAGAACACCGAGAATGATCTATCGATCGCATCGAAATCAATGTTTTTCTCTTTTACCACATTGACAAGCAGTCTTTAAACATTATATTAGATCTTTAAGTGTATCGTGGATTATAAAAATATTTGATTGACGAATAAATAATTTCAAAATTTTCATGTTTGTTTGTTCTATTTTATATCGAAATAAAAGATCATTAGGTAATACATTGAATAAATAAATAACATATACAATATTAGTATTAATATTATTATGTTGCAATAATAGTATACTAAATAAATAAATGAATAAATAACAATAATAAATATAACAATGAATAAATAGTAATATAATGAGAGTATAGTATTCTTGGATTGGTCTATAAGTAATATCCGAATTTCTAATAAAAAAAATTACTAGTATTGTTTATGTTTAGATAAACGATAAAAATTCTGACATTATCTAATTATTGGACAAGAAATTATTTCTTTCTTTGTTTTTTTTTTTCTAAGTAGACAAAAAGAGAAAAATGATTATTAATTTGAACAATTTTGATCTTAACAATAAAAATTATTTAACAAAATTTATACAATATGCTCAATTTTAATTATAATTTAATAACTATTTTGCACAATAATCATTGTTAATGATTTTTCATTTAATTTTATTTGAAATATTATTTGAAAATGATAATTATTAAGATAATGATCGAATTTATATTTTATTATTCATATAATGATAATATAGAATTGAAAACATAGATTAAATAAAATATTATTAAAAACATCCTTAATAAAATCAAATTAATATTTAATAAAATTTAATGTATATTTTTATCAATTTGATTTGATAAACTAGTTATTTTGCTCTATAATCATTGTTAATATCTAATCAGTCATTATTGCAAATTTCTAAAATATATAATAAACGATTTTATATAAAATATATAAATTATAAATTGTAATTAAACCAACGATCGAATTTATATTTTACCATTTATATAATAATAATATAGAAATGAAAATGTATAGATCAAATGACATATTAATAATTGCACCTTAATAATATAAAATTTATTGAATAGCACCTTATTAAAATAAAAAAAAAAGAAATTTTAATTTATAAAATAGCACCTTAATAAAATAAAATTTATATAATATATTCAATTTGTTAATTATTAAGTAAATATTGTTAATTATTTTTCGCAATAATCATTGTTAATATCAAATCAATCGTTATTGCAGCTTGATATATAAAGATTTTGTATAAAATGCATAATTTGAAAAAATGTAATAATTAAAATAGTAATAATTGAATTCACACATTTTATCATTCTACTATATTTACCATATAAACATAATACTTATAAATTGTATTGAAAATATATGGTATTAAGTGACTTATACTACATACAATAAGTTCTTCCTGGGAAGTACTTACAAGAGATGAACAGAGTGGAAGAAGTTCATGCGCATAAATAAGCCATAACGATCTAAGCGTCATATGATGGATAAGCAATCAAAGGACCGAGGTACCGTTCGAAATTGGTCCCACTGATCGACGATAGGACGATTTCGAATGCGAGTTACCGTCGAGAGAAGGGAATAATCGAGGAATATCGAGATATGTGAGAGTATGCGTGTATCCGTATGTGCGAGTATACGTATGTGTGTGTGTATATGTAAGTTCATACAATGTATGTGTATGGTAAATCGTACACCTTCATCCTCCTGATCTATTCATCTCTCGATTATGCCACTCTATTGCGCGCGCGAACGCCTCACTTTTATCGATTCGCACGATTCCGTGAGTGGTGTGCTAACGCGAGGATGAATTTTAACGCATTAACTATTTTCAATCGATATGAATTTATACGATTCCTTTCCATTGAATGAATCAATCATATATTAATAGTATTTATTTTCGGATCGAACTTTAATATAGTATCGTTTCGATTTATGAAATATATTTGAAAATGAAACCACGACGAGAAATAATCTAATAGAATTAATAGTTTTAAATTAATTCATTATTAATTTCTAATCATCATTATATCGTCGATCGATTTTCTTTCTTATTTCGTTGTTAATTCGTCGATTATTCATAATGGATGTATAAACATTTTGAATACTTCAATTAGCGTACATTTTAATTCTCTTTTACGATGAAAAAGATTTTGCATCATGAGTTCAAAATTCGTATTAAACTATTCTTGTTATGGATTGTTTATTTA